AATGCCTCTAGAAAATACAGTTCTCCAATGGAAAATGTTTTTAAATAATTTTGGCAGCAGAAAAATTGAAAGTGTGATTTTCGGACCAACAGTGTTGAGCAACAGAAGATTTCTGTGTTTCCTTTTTTCTAACATATGCCTCATGTTCCTTGACGCGAAATTTTAAGGCTCTCTTAGTTTGGCCAATGTAAATTAAACCACACTAGCAAAGAATCCTATAGATACCCCAGGAATTCATATCCGAAATGGGGTCCTTGAGTATGGAACTCGGAATTTTATTGATGGGAGAATAAACAACCCGAAAGTTAAATTTCTGCAAAATAAGTGCAACTTTATAGCTAATTGATGGAAAGAAGGGAATGACAACAGAATTTTTATAATCTCCTAAAACAAGAGTGTGTCTTTTAGTGTGTTGAGATGAGAATTTTTTAACTGCTTGATTAATAATGTTAGGTGGAAAGCCCCTGTCAATAGCTATTGCTTTTAAATAATTTAGTTCTTCATCAAGGGCTAGTTTGGAGGAGCAAACTTGAAGAGCACGGAAAACATAGGAATAAAATGAAGCTAACTTTTTTTTAGTCGGATGACATGATTTAAAGTGTGGTGGAAGGCAAACCGATGAAGGTTTACGGTAAACCGTAGTACTGAATTTGGATGCTACGTGTGACCAGAATATCGAGAAACGGAAGAGAATTGCAAGTCTCAAGTTCAAAAGTGAACTGAATAGCAGGATCAATAGAATTCATTGTTGAAAGAACTTTATTTAAATCATCTTTATAACCTTCAAACAGGGTAAAAGTATCGTCTACGTAGCGGAACCATGCCGGGAAGTTTAAAGTTTCAAATAATTTTGAGTTGAGTGGGAGAAAGTAGCTCATGAATTTCGATGCAAGAGAAATGAAAGTGAGAGAAATTAGCTCATCAATTTCGATGCAAGAGAAATGAAGCGCGAATTTCATTTCTCTTGCATCGAAATTGATGAGCTAATTTATCTCACTCTGTTTGAAACAAACACATTTTGTTTTCGAAAATAACTATTATAAGCAAACTGAGGGATTAGCCATGGGAAGCCCCCTCAGTCCCATCCTAGCTGATATCTACATGCATCATTATGAATCAAAATTATTTGAAACTTTAAACTTCCCGGCATGGTTTCGCTACGAAGACGATATTTTTACCCTGTTTGAAGGTAATAAAGATGATTTAAATAAATTTCTTTCAACAATGAATTCTATTAATCCTGCTATTCAGTTCACTTTTGAACTTGAGACTTGCAATTCTCTTCCGTTTCTCGACATTCTGGTCACACGTAACACATCCAACTTCAGTACTACGGTTTACCGTAAACCTTCATCGGTTTGCCTTCCACCACACTTTAAATCATGTCATCCGACTAAACAAAAGTTAGCTTCATTTTATTCCTATGTTTTCCGTGCTCTTCAAGTTTGCTCCTCCAAACTAGCCCTTGATGAAGAACTAAATTATTTAAAAGCAATAGCTATTGACAGGGGCTTTCCACCTAACATTATTAATCAAGCAGTTAAAAAATTCTCATCTCAACACACTAAAAGACACTCTTGTTTTAGGAGATTATAAAAATTCTGTTGTCATTCCCTTCTTTCCATCAATTAGCTATAAAGTTGCACTTATTTTGCAGAAATTTAACTTTCGGGTTGTTTATTCTCCCATCAATAAAATTCCGAGTTCCATACTCAAGGACCCCATTTCGGATATGAAATCCTGGGGTATTTATAGGATTCCACGCCAGTGTGGTTTAATTTACATTGTCCAAACTAAGAGAGCCTTAAAATTTCGCGTCAAGGAAAATGAGGCATATGTTAGAAAAAAGGAAACACAGAAATCTTCTGTTGCTCAACATTGTTGGTCCGAAAATAACACTTTCAATTTTTCTGCTGTTAAAATCATTTAAAAAACATTTTCCATTGGAGAACTGTATTTTCTAGAGGCATTTCACATTCATAAAAAAATCTTTCTGTTCTAGTTAGCGATCCTAATTCCAATCCAAATTTGCCTTCGGTCTTTAAAGAAATTACGTTTTAATTCTGGTTTCACCAACAGATGGCGCCACTTGCCTATTTTCTTCCAGGCTTTCTTATCTTATCTAATCATTATTTCCTATCTTGTTCATTTGCGGTTTTGCAGCTAAGGTAGGTAGCTCGGTAAAACCATCGAAGCTAGTCCTGTGAAAATTTTGTAAATATAACGCTGATTTTTGTTGTTTGACTTCTGAATAAGTATTTAATTATTATCTCTTAATTATTTAATTAAATTCAAAATATACTGCTTGACTTTAGAAATAATTTATGTATTTAATTCGAAATATCTAATCTCATATACAGTGTATATCTATACATACATAATGTATATATATATAATGAACTGAAAGCAATTTCCCGTAATTAGATAAAAAGAATAAAAAACCTGCAAAAAATTACAACATATTAACATGGAGGAAAAATTTGAAATATTTGTCAAGCCTTATCTAAATACCAAATTAAAAAAAAAATTCCCACGGTGAAATTTCTTTAATTGTGTATAAATTGAGACATTAAAATAACTACTATTATTACATCTGAAAGATTCTTTTAATACTGTATTAAAAATTTTTATTTGTTTCCTATGTTTGAAAACTACATTGGCTTATGACAGTAATTCGATCATTTGTAATTTATTTTGTATAATTACAGACACATTTTCTACATTCATAAATATTCAGAAAAATGTAATCCTTCGATAAGAATTTTCCGGTATGTTATTATATCTGCTTTTACCGTGAATACCGTGTATTCAACTGAACCTATGAATAGCCGAATCAATCAAGGCAGACTGCTTCCTCCAACGCAGATTGAATATTTACGTGAAACTTCTCAACATGTAATATACGCATGGGCTGATCGTGATTGAAATGTGCTCTGAAACGAAATTCGATGGCAAAGATCTGTGCTTCATGCTTCAGTAGATAAATCTTAATTTCAATTATTCATGTTGCCACAGTTCGTATTGCGTCATTTAACGATTTCTGACGCAAATTCCTGGTAGAGATGTAATTTCGATTATTCTGGCAACAACACCAGTTTTTTCTTATATAATTTGTTGATTACTATATTACTAAAGAATACTTTTTATTTAAAAACTCTACATAGGGTTCAGATTATAATTCTAATTATAATATAACTTTACATAGAGTTTACGTTACAATTAGAAATATCATGCAGTGATATTTCTAAATTGATTATTCTATTAATAATATCTATAACTGAATGCCACCTGTACACAGTACATATAGGTTGATTATGAAATTTTTCTCCAGATGTACCCTGCTGTTAAAATACAAAGAATTAAAAAAAGTGTCCTAATTAGAGTGTTATATTTTTCTAAGTTGCCTGATTTGTAAATAAATTCATCACACTATATAATCATAATAGTGTTTCGAGTAGAAGATGTTTTAAAGTAAAAATGCCTTCTGAGAAATACTTACTCATTTGCATTGCCTAGAATTTAAATGCTATATTTGGATGTAGTTTTACGCTTATTATAATCTTTGCGTTCCATTTCTTTAGTTCGTCTTTCAGTACGCTGTTTACACTATTTAAATGTCAGAAGACTTTCAATATATCAAGCTCACTTGGGTGAAGATGTCCTACATTCAAACTGTATATTTGTATTGTAAGAATCCTAAGTTTTACTAACGTTTATTTTATTTTAAAACTGTACTATCACTTCTTATTTTCTTCTTCCGTCCAGAATTAAATGCTTTAACTTGTTTATGTAAATTGTCTTGCTAACGTCCAAGTACTTAAATTGTGGCTTTTTGCTAAGAGAGAGAGAGAAGGGGTTATAGGAAGCAAGCCGCTTGCCACTGTAGTTTTACGAGTTTTCACTCGGTTGCTGGTTGCCTTTAAGGCCAGAGGTTTAGCCCTCTTGATATTTGCAAACGTATCGTAGTTCAGCAGCTCCGCGTACTACATACTTACCTTTTTTAAATAAAGGCCAGTCTTAGTGCTAGGCATTTGTATACTAATTCAAAGTTAGCTTTTATTTAGTAGTTTTTATATTCTTTCGTTCAGACCACAAGTGGTTGGTCTCTGTATTCCGAAGTTCGGAAGTGCCTGTAAAAGATTAAAAATAAAGGGTTTCGTATACCCTTCCTGCTTGTGTTGTCTACTTCACACCTTCTTGAACATAGCTTGAGTAAGTTCCCTGTTCCTATTCAGGATCATTCATGTTTCCAAAGCAAATCAAGAGAAACAGAAGTCCTGTCAGTATTGCAAAACAGTATCAGAGGAAGCACGACTTGTATTTGAGATCTTCTTATGCTTGAGTCATTTCGCTAGTTCATTTGAAAGTCGTGATTTTTTTTCGATCTCTTTAATTATAAAGCTACTATCAAGATTTTCTTATTAATTTCTCATAATCATATGTTCTTCGAGGTTCATGCAACGTATATACGTCAGTATGTTAGTAAAGCTTGGATTTCACGAGAAAAGTATACTTCCTCTGAATGAATTTATAAACGCTCAAGCACAGCTTCCTTTGTCTCATTTCTTGTTCTGAACTTCTCAGACAAGTCCATTGATAAATCTGCTGAAGGAGTGCATAACGGCTCAATCCTCTTCATTATGCGAAGAGTGTCAACTGGTTTCTAAAGTTCAGTGCTTAAAGTTTAGGAACATGGTTAGCTTTTCCTCTTCTCCTCTTTGTCCCTGCTACCATGGATATACTGTCATCTTGACTATTGCTTACTGACATCTTCTTTCTAATAAAAAGCCTCCCCACATCAATGCTTCAGAGTTAGCAAACGTAACAACAAACAAACACTTAGGTTAAACAATCAGCCATGTGATGTTCACATTTTAGAGTCATATTGAGATTAGAATATGTTTCGATTATTCCCAGTACAAGAAACAAATGCAACTAAAATGTAAGCGTATAATTTATAAAGTAATGAAATTAAAGCCAAATTTAAGATATTGACTAACCGTTTGGATATAAGGATCTGCGGAATAGTTAGACGGAAGACTCTCATTATCTGATGCACATTCTCCCCAAGGGGGACCCAATCTGTTTATTTCTATGTACTCCACACTCATGGAGACCATATCTCCGGGTCTAACGTCTATACCATTCTCAGAAGCAATTGGTATACTTCGAGGGTCATGAATCACAATGCGTACACCCAATTGTTTGGTGAGTAAGGCGACTGCATCTTTCTTCCTCGCTTGCATGTATAGCTGTAAACCTGTACATAAAACCTATGAATTAGTTTTGAAGTAGAACGAAATAAATAAATAATCAATTGCATCTAATATCAAAGAGAAAATATTTCTTCTAAGTAACTTAAATTATTTTGCATTTATGCCGCCCAACCGGGATAGTGGTTAGTGAGTTTGACTATCGTACCGAAGGGATTGTGATCGTATCCGGAGAAGGCTCGAATGTTTGTAAATGCATAGCGTCTGTGCGGCATAGAGATATTCTAAATATGCGGCGAACTGGAAGTCCCCTCAAGAGGTCGCTGGTAGGGGAAGAGGAATGGGAAGGCCTCGGACCGATACACTCAGAGTGCTCTGCTTCAAAATCGGGAACGGAACTGAGCAAAGTCGTACTAACAACTGTATGCTGCCCAAGGCTCTTGCCAACGGTATTCGCATTGTTGTATCCTCGTCACGATCAGTTTCGTGAGTTTGCTCTGATTTCAGAAAAGAGAGACCAGTCACAACACCACTTTACATTCACCGCACAATGCTAATAATGAACGTTGTAAAAATACTTTAATTACTAATTAGATTTACTGATCATGATTTCTATTCTTTTTTTAAATCAATATGAATTATTTCGAAGTCAAAAAAGAAATCACATCTAGTATGTTTTACATATATCATATGCTGCCGATTTCAATTTCATTTGCTTTAATCCTTTAACGAGAGGCCACACTAAATGGCATCCTAACTATAGGCTGAAGCTTAAGTTTAAGAGGAACACTAATATGCGTTTCGAATGAGTTATTTACTTTTCGATTAGAAAATATTGAAACATCTTTGTTCTCGTAAAGCCATACACAAATGCACTACCTTAGAGTAACCTATCTCAGGCGTTATATACTTGTATTCACTGAATCATGCTCTTATATGAATATGAACCGGTATCTATAAATCTACGCTAAAAACGCTCTGTAAAAATGTTAATGGAAATAAATAAAAATGTTAATGCAATTTTATTTTAAAACCTATAAATTAATTATGTAATTTATTCTATTAATTTCTAGTTATGCTATTTTAACCCTATCACCGAATCACGCAGGAGGACTTTCGACCCTGCACTATTTTAAGTGTCCCCATGCCACACAGACAGTGTACATTTACAAACATCTAAGCCTTCTATAAATCTGAGAAATAATCTCTGAAAATACCTGAATTCGTGTCGGGGCCTGACGAGATAGTTATAGTAGTTAGCGATACTGAATTAAAAATTAAATAAATGAATAAAATAAATAAATGAAATTTTGCTTGAATACTTGTATGTTTATAAAATTAAAACAGAAAAATAATGTACAAGAAAATAAGTGAACATCAGAATATAAGCTAGTGACAACAACAGAACAAAATTAAATTTCATTCGTTGCTTATATCTGTCGTTTCTTTCTTTTATTTTATGGCTGATTTATATAGATTACTTTAGTAATGAAACATACGTCGGTGAAAAAACATTATAATGCAAACACATCATCTTCAAAAATAGACAAAATAAATATGCAGCTTCTCTGCTTTCCTAAAGAAAAGGTAATCTTTCTCATTAAGGAATTTTTCTACCCCAAAAATTACTTGAAAAATGTAAGAAAAAAGGCCTTAATATGTGTAAAAATATAAAAGATTAAAGAAGTAACTAAATCAAATATTCAGGTAATTTTGCCATTATACTTTTTCCCTCATCCAATACAATTCGTAACCTCAAATGTTCGATATTAGAATTCAGATTTTGAAACTATTTTTATTTTGCATTTTTCTAGCTTTGAATTAATTCAAGCTTTCTTTAAAGTTATTAATAAACATTTTAAATATGTTTTTCATATTATGGAGAAATTGTGCAGTTGATATTTCTTACATATTGTTTATGGCAGAATAATTAGCCGTTCACAATTTTTTATAACTCATTTTAATTGTTTCATTTAATTGCTGTGAAATGTTGCTGTGTATTTACTTCTTCCTCCATATTTATTGCATGGAAAACTTGTTAAATTTAAAATGATGGATTTTCTATTTATTCAAGAGAAAAGAAAAAGTGTCAGGACAGGCAATTATATATTTTTCATATCACAGAAAAGAATGACAAAGGCAGTTTGGGAAAATTTAATAGTGACTCATTGCTTTTGTAAAAAGAACATAAAGATTACACATCTTTACATCGCCACTTTACTCGATATTGTTTCAAGTATAACAGGGAAACACGTTGTAAATATGCATTATCACCATAACTTTAATTTAAATTTTAAAAGCTTAAGAAATGCGGCTGGGGTTGAAAACTGCGAACGAAAACACTGGGGGAAAAAACGCAAGAAGAAAACATGAAAGACAAAACATGGCAGGAAAAAAAAAGAAAGAACACATTGCAGTAGTAAAACATTGTGGTAGGAAACAAAGTGGTTAAAAGTATACGCAGTTTTTAAAACATAGTCACATAAAATATCGTTGTAAAAATAAAGCTCTTATAAATCTTCACATAATAATAACACCGCAGACGTGATTTATAACTTTAAAAGTTTTAAATGCATGTTAACATAATGATTTATGAAGGAAAGAAGAAATTAATAACATTTTTACCTCTATATTTCAATTTTTTAACTTTAAGTGAAAAAGTAAGTAAGAAACTTAAAACATTCAATGTATGGAAATTAGTAAAAATTAATTCTACGTAAAGCTGTTAATAAAATTTCAAACTTATGTTACTAACTATTCAAAGTCATTATTTAAATAACTTGCTTTATAAAGACGTTTAGCAGGTTTTCTAAAAAATATATAAAAGTATAATAAAAATTTGAAAGATTTCAGATTTTAAATTATGTCCGAAGGGGCGTTTTTTAACATTTTGTGTGTTATCTTTATTTATTAAAAATCATGTTTTTCGCAGTTACACCATAAAATTCAGTTCATGAGCAATATCGCAAAATAATTTTAAAATGAACATATCTTTAGAATTTCCAATACGCAGTCTTGTGAGCTGGAGATTAAAATGTTTTTTTTTTCTGTACAACGTTGCCACTGTTCGCTTTGAAATCCTTGAGTTTGTTAACAAAAATTCGTTAAAGCTTTACAAAATATGAAACAAGTAATAAAATAAATTGCAGATTTCAAATTTGGGCTTCCAGATGCCCAAATTCGCAGGAGGATTACGTTATTCAAATTTGGATGTCTCTAGGTACATTTGTTTTATCACAATGCGAAAAACATACATACATTTATGCAGATTCTTCATTATTTAATATTTGGTGGAAACAACAAGTGAATCAACGCTGGTAGTGAATCAACGCAAAATGCCAAAACGAAATAATTAGTTCTTCTGGGAAAATTGCCCCTTTTGGACTAATAAAAATAATTAGAAGTATTATGCATAAGTTCTATTGACTGAAACACATAGTATACTAAATTCCAGATTACTAAATTCTACTAAAATTACTAAATTTCAGATTTTGAGTGCTTTAAGTTTCCTGCTTGCTCTTTTAGTAAAAATTTATAAATTATTATATAAACATGAAATATGGTGGCAATCATTTCGAAAAAATTCACTTAAAATATTTATAATTTAGAAAACGCATGTTTGCGAAGTTAACATCATGAGACTATTTTCGTAGATGCTTTTATTTTAGTAAAATGTTTTAGAACTACATTGTTTACATTCTTTGCTTTCTTCTCTCCCATGGCACTTTCTACTTGCGTTATTTCTTTGAAAATATATGTCTACACTTCCACCATTCTTCTTTGGAAGTAAAGGATAATAGTATAATGCTGTACTAGAATTCAGAGATTTCTAAAGAATACTGCGGAAAAAATTCGGATTTTCAGTAACGATCTGTTTTGAAGCTTATTTGGTACGAATATTTGCTTTTTACTTTCATTCTTGATAAACGATGGATTGATGCGCCATAAATCTCAAGAGAACGCTGAGATGAGTTGAAAATAATTTAAAAAAAAAATTCCTCTAGCACCATATTCTTTAGCGAGCTCCATTTAAAAGCTAATATTGAGCGGACTACACTGCTCCAAACTTTAAAAGCGTTAAAATTTTATTTATTTGAATTGTAATTTGAGAGATTTAACTAAAATACACGTATTTATTGTGGCACTATATGTTTTAGCTAATAATGTGTATCTAGAACTAATCTATTGTTTTCTTTTCCCTTTTTCTGCATCCATTGCTTTTTAGAAACAACATCAACTGCAATGGATTCCCCTTACAGCTGGGTGTAATGATATCATAAAATCCAGCGCTAATTTTCCTTCGACGAAAGTAATTTTGTTTTTCTTTTACTTTTCTGGCGTTTTCTTCTCAGCCTTCTCTGATAGTTACTTGAAGAATCATTATAACTATTTAACTAACTTAATATCATTTAAAAATTTTTATTCTAATTTGCCATCTCCAGTTATGCACTTTTGTGTATTATCTGTCCATTATGTTCCGGCTTACTCGGCCCGGTGGCGCAGTGGCTAGCGCATCGCGCAGCGGTACCACAGGTCCGGGCTTCGATTCCCGGGCAGCGCAATCCTTTCATCCCTTGATTTCCATCACTTGTGTCGATAAAATGAGTACCTAGTTTGCTTGGGGACTAAACACTGTCGGTCCTGCGACAAGCTGACCATTTATTCAGGGCATATGCTTACGCACTCCGGGGCCCACGGTCAAGAAAGCAGATTTCGGGCACTGCAGGCATTGACCCGTTAGGGCTATTACGCCACTGAGTTTAGTTTTTTACTCCTCAAATGAATGAGCAGGGTGTAATTATCAGTTGTTTCTGTTAAACTGTTAACGTACAAGTTGGTTCTGACATAAAATCGGTGTGATAAGCCTAATTGCGAGAACAACGCAGTGTAGCAGAATACTACTTTTCAATAGAATCAAAATAGCAACATGCCTTTTAGCAGGAGGAACCCGCTCTGATTCTGCCTCTAAAATCTTCCTTTAAATTCTGTCTCCTTTCTGCTCCATTTTAATATCACGCGAGCTAGAAATTTACGCTCTGGGAGGAAA